AAGAGTCTTTCATCATAAGTGCAATATGTATGCATTTTTGTACAGTTTTGCTTTTAATTTCTGCTCTGATTGTGTTGTTCTTTCAGCAAACTACCTTTTTTGAGTCTGTGTACTCCAGTTAAAGATTATTTGATTACTAAATTAGTTGACGGTTATTTCAACAATCGATTAATCTTCTCCATCTTACCCTAGATGTAAACTCTCAATGCATTTCCTTCAGGAAAAGGCAACTTTTTCAAAGTCAGAGAGGAAGAATTATGAAACAGGAAGTGACATCTTCGATTAGATCTGCAGCATCTCATCTCCTCTTCCTCAGAGATTCCCAAACTGGAGCTCCAGGCCCTGCAGCCTCATTAGGTCTGATCTCTTATCATGATGGCCGCCGCCGTTCAAAACGTCGCTTCATTTTCTCCGTAGGTCTTTAAAACATTCATCACACCAGCTGTTCTCGAGTCAGTCAACGCTCTAGTTCCCTGCCATAACACTTAAAAACATAATTAGATGCTTTGAGGTGAAGTCAATCCAGCAGCCAAACAAACAAGACTCAGAAAAACAAAGTATTTTACCTTTCTGCTTTGGGTTGCGTTCCGATCAGAACAGCAAAGGTGAAAGTTTGATGCAAAGCAACCAATTTGGATCCAAACGAATGAGTCATTTTCAACCCAAACCTGCAGACTCATTCAACAAAACGTTTCTCTTATCACAAGAGGAAGTTGCGGTGACGAGGCTCTGGTTACGCAAGAAGACTCTGAATCCGAAAATGCGCGCGCTGGACTTTGGTGTTGCCACACTTTTCAGAATTTGCATGTTAAGTCCTTTGAATTTGTGGATTATTTTTATGGTACAACACCGAACAAATCAAAAACAAACACTCTTGAATGGAGCCGTGTATTCAAACCCAACGGCTTGCAAAACAATTTGTTACATCAGTAACTGAGTGCATTATTATTGCACAAAATGTGAGCTAATCTCAACTGATACATTTATAAATATTTTTGCAATAATTCATGCATGTTTCTCCACAATACACCTCCAGATGACTCTAATCTCCAAAAAAGGGCTTGCAAAGGCTCTTAATTAAAAAGGAACTTGTTCATATTTATAAATGCAGAAATAATAAATGTAGGTTTTTAATAGTTTTTTTCTTACTGCATTTAATTTTCCAAAAAAAAAAAAAAAACCAATAAAAGTAAGAGTACCACTAAAGTACCAGTAACATGTTTTAAGATCTGTTTTCCTTATTAGGTTGGAATCTATGAGCTTTTTAAATAACATGAATTTCCATCCTCTTATGGTCATCTTTATTTTAAATCCTAAAAGTAGAAATTAACCATCTTTAAAATTTAGACAAAATGTCCTAAAGTAGATAGTAAAGTTGCAGATTTTTTTTTCTCTAGAGTCACAATTCCTAATCATGGGAATATTGAATTAAATGGTCAAAAATTATTTTTATTCTGATTAATTGTTTTTGTAAAGTTATATTCTAAATGATTCTTTGATACTTTTTGAAGAAAAACCCAGACAGCAAAGTTCACCTCATACTGGTAACTTAAACTACAGAGTTTTAAGCACAACCCTATTTTTGTCTAAACATAAACTGAATTTTAAAAGTTTAGGAATCGTTTTAAATAAATGTTTTATTTGTTTATACTGCTGTCTTTCCCTCCTGTTGGTCACATGATCTAAACAGTCTGTAGACCGACTGAATGGAAAACCTGGTTTCTGAATAAAGAATCGTTTCTGAATTGATTCTAAAAATCTGAATCAAATCGCTAGACAAAGATTTGCATCTTTAGTCGATATTTCTCTATACAGTCGGTTTTTTTCCAAAACCTTATGTGACATTTGCAGCTCCAAACATGTTGTGTTTCTTTGTCCTGACAGCAAAATGGCTCCAAGTTATAAAGGTTCCTCTCATTATTATCTTCTAATGACACAAACTTTCCAGAAGCTTTGATTTAAATGGAGCTGAATCAGACACAGCTGTTGATTTCTCAACCAATTTGTGGTTATTCGATTTATTTCGCTTTAAATCCTTATAAGTCTTGGCATTTATTGGATTTAAAAGACAAAGAGATACCAGGAAATAAAGGACAAAGCTCTCCAGCTGTTTACAGCCCCTTAAAGCCTCCATGAACACGTGCTTACCTCTCCTTTATGCGTCATAAATTAACAGAGAGTGGGCTGCATCTGTCTTAGGAGGTCTCCGTAGTGAGCACACTACTCAATCATTAACAGCCAGTCAGTGTCCGGCTTCGCTTCGCTGACACTGAACTGCATTAACACCCAAAACAGAGACTTATTCTGCAGGAATAAAGGAAATAAATGCCGAACATTAAGATGTTGCTGGAGGTTAAGGACTCATCCAAAAAGGTTCTGGTGAAGGACATGAGTGCAAACCTCACTGAATCGTTCAAGACCAATTAAAACCGTGGCGCTGGTATTTGGAGGAATGCATGTGTGTGTTTATCCCTGAAGAGAGGAAAGGATGACGCTACTCCTGTCGTTATAAATAGATGATGCACACACACGCACACACACACAGGGCATCTCAAAGTGTCTGCATGCTGCAGAACAGGGTAATCCTGATGCTTCTCGACCTGTTTAGCTGGTTCCTCAAAGAAATCACAAACACACAACTGATTTTCCATCACAAACATTTTAACTCTCAATCTGAGGATTTTAAACCAGAACTTGTCAGCAGAGAAACATTAAATACTGTGATATTAAAGTGGAATTAGATAGGAGTTTCATTAAGCTGTTGGGAAGCAGAACAAAGTCTAAAGAGATTACGTTAAATTTGATTAAAATTGGTTCACATATTTACCTACTCATGAAACCAGTTAAACCTTCTATATTCTTACTGGAAGAGATCTCACACAGCTGTATTCTAAAGCAAACCCCTTTGAAAAACAAGACTGCATGTACATTTTCAATATTTTTTTATGAAGTGCTCCAAAAATAAAAAGCCCAGAGAAACATGATCAAATCTGGGAAGTTATTTGCAGCTCAAAGCTTCACACCAGCTCAGTTGAATCAGCCTTACTTAATCAATTAGGATCTTAAGGAGCATTTGTGAGCAGCAGTTTCCATGCTCACAGGGCAGATCAAGTCTGAATGGATTAATTTCAATCCCCACCGTCATGATTGTTAAAGTAGAGTGGAATTAGAAAACAGGACAACAATCGTATCTTTCAGCAAGTTCTGAGACGCGCGGTGTCTCAGGAGGCCGGTTAGTGCTGAATGGGTCGCTTCCCCGGCTTCTTCACATCGTTAAATTCACACAACATGACTGCAGTTTAACACTAGTTCAGCCGATTAAACTGAGGAATCCGACTTCAAAAGGAAAACTAGTGATAAACGTGACATTTATCTGAAATTCAGCAGCCTGAGCTACGGTGTTTGATCATGAATAGCAGCTGTAAGAGTTGATGTCAAATTAAACATGTCACAATAAGTAAATCATTTAAAATGACCCGATAATTTCCATTCTGATATTTTCTGAAGGGCAATTTTGTTTACAGTGACTTTATAAAGGAGGCGGGTGATATGGACTTAAAGTTTTATCCCCATATTTTGTGGTATTATTGTGATAATGATAAAGGTGACAATAGAAACTAATACTTCTCTTTTTGTCTAACTGCTCCTGAAATTTATACCATTTGTAATACAATCACAAAGAATGTGATTTGGTTTTTATTTCTGTTATTTTTTGTTTTGGTCGTTTTGTTTATTTATTTTGGATATTTAAAATACTTTCCAGTTCCGGTCTTAAGTGTTTCAGAAAAATCTTTTAGAAAATAAAGTTTATTGATATTTGAGAGGGCAAACATGCATTGTTATTTCATTACCGTTAGATTATTTGAAAATGGTTTCAAAAGAACAATATCATAATTTATCACAATAATTTCTGGGTTGTAATTGTAGGGCTGGATGATGTGAACTTTAAGTTTCACCACAATATTTTTTGGTACTACTGTCATAACAATAAAAGTGACAATAAGAACTATTTATTACTTTTTTTTAGAGGTGCACCGATTGCAGTTTTCTGGCCAATTACCGATCTTTTAAAAAGTTTAACCTGCCAATTCCGATTTTGGCCGATACAAATTTTTTAGGAAATGTTTCTCAATAGAGCAAGAAAGTTGTTGAGTTGGCAACAGTGCAGTAACTATTGTTAATTGTAAACGTGCAGACATAACTTGGTGGGCTGGTCTGTCAGTCAAACCTTTCTCACCGGAGAGCAGAAGAGGACAGTGGCTGATTCTTAGACCTTTGCCAAGCTGGACGAGATTGGTGGATGACATTGGCTTCACATGTAAAAATCCGCCGATCACCAAAAAAATAATTAATTGGAATTTATTGCAACATGAAAGTATCAAACTTTGAATGAAAAACGATACAATAAATGCCGACACATCCTTTAGACTTAATTTCTTTCATGGTGTTGGTTGCAAATGGTTTTTATTTCTGTTTTATTTATCATCTTTGGGTTTTGTAGTTTTTTATTTTGGATATTTAAAATATCTTCCAGTTCCAGTGTCAAGTGTTCTTTATAAAAGTAAAGCTTATTGAGGGCAAAGTTGAGTTATTATGTCATTACCATTACATTACTTGATAACACTATAATCGTTTATCCCAACAACTTCTGGGACAATTTATCGCAGGGCTTGGCGATAAATGAAGTTTTACCGCAATATTTGGTACCATATAATCATACACTAAATTTATTGACATTTGTTGATACTTTCATTGAACAGTGAACAGTAAAAACAGTAATCCCAAAAATACTGACAGTATTGGTTCAAACATTATCATTTGTCATATAACTTCTGGGACAATTAATCGTCCTGCAAAATTTGTTATCAGCAAGTTTTTTTCTCTATTGCTCCATATTAAAATCAGGATCTAATTATATTCATGCCACCAAATCAATCATAGATTCGTGAGAAAGCAATGCTTTTTGTCAGTCATGGATTGAAAACGCGGATGTCTCTTACCTTCCCCGTCTTGTGGTCGAACCACACAAGAGCATGATTCCTGGACAGCACCTTGCAGTCGAAGGTGGCGTTGTTCTGGGCCGGTCGGCAGCGAGCCACAGACCTTCCGATCTTGACTGGCTCGTCCAGGTACACATGCCGCTCCTGGAATGGGTGCGAGTTGGGTCGGCAGGTGAACACGGCCAGTGCTGAAGGCATTGATTTTGGCTTGAGTGTGTTACTCCAACCAGACACAATGGAGAGGTTTTCCTGATCCAGATTGGCAGGGTTTTGGTGCATCCCCACTAAAAAAGAATAATCTACAATATCTGCGGCCTGTATGCAGGCAGATCTCCAGGTTCTGTAATCTTCTAGGCACTAACTGATAAGCATTGTCCCCTGTACGCTCTCGGGACTGCACTTTGACTCAACTAGACTTTGAGGAAAAGGAAAATAAAAAACAAACCAAACATGTATAAAAAGACAAGACATTCCTTTTTCAATGGCTCCCCACTAAAGCTACATAACGACGCTTAAATCTGACAGCAAACACTATGTACAGACCAAGGTGCCATGTGTCAAGACATACATGACTGATTATAGCACTGACAGCCTGGCAAACAGCCCCTCACGTCCATCAAACTATTCAAGCAGTGGAGCTGGGAAGTAAAACCACTCAAAGTTTGTCTTTCGTCGCACAAAACAGCAGAAGCTCCTCCAAATAAATAAACCCACCTGTTTATTCCCTACATTTGCAGAACTATTGCGCCTTTTTTCGAGCTGTGATGCGTTTACCTGCCCGCAGCAGGCAAACAACAAGCCGGTCCACACGCACTTTAATCGAGTGTCATCTGCTGTTCGTCTAAACGGCACATGATAATCGGGGTGACCTTGTTACCCTGATACAGGGAGCCTTATCTTGGCACCTCACGTCGGGTCACCACTCCCTCCAGAGTGCACCTACGAGACCGCTAACGACACCTAGCAGAGCCGGAGAGCCAGAAACACCCCCCGTGGGTCGGTTAAAGCAGTCCGATGGGGATTTATGCCTCAAAACACTCAACCGCCAATATTCAGGGGATTAGCAAGTCGTCTTTTACAACAAAAATGCGGATCTCTAACTCTCGGCCAACGTTTCTGGCGTTCAACCAGCTAGGCTATGCTAGGCTAGGCTAATGAGTACTTCCAAAGTTATTCAAGTCCTCCAATGTTTTCTCCCCACCCTTCTCAACCAGTTCGCTTACCGAGTGGAAGCGATATGCCATACCTGTCTCCAGTAGCAAATAAAACCAGCAAGCCGAGGCGTCATTGGCTACAAACAGTCCTGCACCGCGAACGCAAGCGCAAAGGTGAGCTAGCTAGCAGCTAGCCGGCTAACTGACAGTCAGAACGGAGAGAGACGCGGAAAAATCTGGGGAGTTTCTTCTTCACTGCGGCTCCCCGTGCATCACACTGCTGCTGTGCTTCGGGGGAACCTCACTGGAGGACGCTGGTTGCGCTGTCGTTCTCTGTATTAGTCCTAATCCAGTTTGCTGTGGTGGGGTTTTATTACAGCTGTTGGCTTCCGGAGGTTTTCTGGATAGAATCTAGAAGAAGTTGTCCTCCTCCGCAAGTCCCAGCCGCCATACTGGAAGTAGAAAGCAGACAGGCGTGGTGCGTTCACTGACCTATAGGATTAACCCAACTCTCTGGTTACCTCATTAATAGATAGATAGACCGATAGATGGATATTTATTTCCGTGTTGTTGTTGTTTTTTAATTGGTTGAAGTTACACTTTCTATTTTTTGTTTGTTTGTCTTGAATAGAGGTGGATAAAAAAAGTTACATTTACTTGGATAAAAATAGAAATACACTTTTAGGAGTAGTTTTATAATTTACTGTTAGTCGAGCAATATTGTTATGAAGTATCGCTACTCTTACTAGTACAGAATAATTTCTGGATGCTCTACCTAAAGCGAATAACTTCACAAAATGAAGAACAAATGAAAATTGTTTGAAGCAAAGACTCACAGATTATGTTAAAGCGCAACTTCATTGTTGTATTTTCCTTTTAGTTTATAAAATAACATAATATGTACAATTGTGCCTTTGTACATTGTATACATTTTTCTTTCGGATTATATCATTTTACAAAATGGTGTTTTATTTTTATGTCTTTGACGGCAACTTTTGACTTTTTTAAAGTAAAGCTACTCTTAGTTTACTAAAATTTTTTGGGTTACTCTGCTAACATCTGGTTTTGAGTTACATTTTACAACACCAGAATTTTCACTTAATGATTGAAATTAAGTGTTTTTTGTCCTTCTTGTATCACTTCTTCAATAGTCACACTAATTTTTGTATATGTTTCATTTTGTGTTGCTGTTTATCCTGAAAGGATTTATAAAATGTCAGGGGTGGAGTTTTTCCAACTTTGACACCATTTCAAACATTTCATAATGAGACCAGATTACAGTTTCTATTACAATTCTTCATCTTTGTGGCTGTTTATTAGGAGCTGGGAGAACAGGAGGGAACAGGACAGTGTGGGTGATGTTGGAGGAGATCAAATTCTGCTTATAGCTCCAAAATCTCCCTGTCCGCTCTTTGGTGAACCGAACCCTGAGACTAAATCAATACTGGATGAGATGATGAAACAGCCACACCTCACATCAACCCCCCATAGTTTTACTTATTTCACCCTTTGTTTATTGAAATATGGGACAAAATAATTTTTTATTAAATTAAATAAATTTTCACCACTGAAAAATACACTTTGGAGTTTTTCTATTGGCATAAAGGCTCACCAATCAAGCATTAACAAGCAAAATTATAAGTATATATTAACTTTAATACTGAGAACGTAAATTATACCAACATATAAATTACACTGTTTATTTGTTTATTTATTCTTTTTGGCAATTGTGTTCAAAGATTCATGTTTTTTGTGCTTTAGTGTTAAGAAAATTATATTATATTATATTATATTATATTATATTATATTATATTATATTATATTATATTATATTATATTATATTTACTGGAAGCTTCTTATCATCATTGCTCCATTTACACAAAACATGAATGTACACTTTTAAATAATACTTTTATTTTATTGAAAAGAAAGTTACATTTTATGTGCATTTTATTTTTACTTTTTGTCTGTTTTCTGTTCGTCATGGTGGTGTTGCTGCCGCTCAATAATTTCCCAACTCTGGGATAAATAAAGTACATCTGATCCAGTTTTTTGTTGTTCATTATGCATTATTTGTCCTCCACTATTCTTCATTTTTTCCCTATTAATATTAGTGCGTCCTGACTTTCAGGATCAGGTTTTTGTCATGAGATGGACCTGGTTCTGGTCCTTGCATCTCTGCAGCTCTGCCCAGCCCTCCTGCAGAGCAACCAGAGGGACCAGCTGTCACTGTGCCAACAGTCTGGCTATTATCTGAGATTTGCCAGCATCTTACTGTGTTTTATCTTCTTATTGCTCAGCTGTGTAACTTACAAAGAACCACAGGGAGTATTTTACATTTATAAGTGTCCATTTAAGGATAAATTGGAGAAAAAAAATAGAAAAAAACTTGAATATGCTCAAGAGATTAGAATCTCCCCTTTGAAATCAATATGAGGAAAGAATAAAATAAATTAGAAAAATGCAGGCGGATACAGTATGTGTAAAGTGATAAATTATGCATGTTAAAGTTTTATTATTCATGTTTAATAAACATGAATAATAAAACGTTAATATAGGATAAAAAGTAAGAAGTGTGTGACAAAAAGTAATTTATAGTTTTTGCTGAACATGACATTTCTGGTCTCCACATTGTTATAAAAAATAACATTATTGCCTATCTTATGGTTCTTACTGTGCCAAGAAAAATAAATATTTAATAATTTAAATGTGCAACTAAATTCTCCACCGATGAAGATGATGTGAAAGGATTTAAAAACAAGATCTGGTCCATGTCAATCTTAAGGATCTCTAAAAATATATGTATTTTTAGATTTGTGTTTAAAATATAATTGGTTAACTTTACAAATTACTTTATTGTGCTTCGCATTATGGCATATAAAATAAAATAAAAAATTACCATCATTTTGAAATTCTGCTCTTTTTTTAAATGTATTAGGTCATACATATTATGACATATGTTGATGATCTTTTATACTGATTCTCTGTTGGTGACAGAAATAAATCATGTAAACTGCTATTATTTGCTCAGTAAAATTTTGATTAATTAAATGGGAATCAGAGTCTCCCTTCAGGTTGTTTCATCCGTCTGTTTGCTCAGTGGAGGATGTATTAAAGGATTTGGATAAAGCTGATTTACTCCTTTGGTCCTGACTCAGACTGACACTCAGGCCGAACAAGTGATTCATCCAATTATGGGGCTTACTTTATGCCTTGGATCTGGAGCAGAGCAATGTACACACTACCGTACAAAATCAAGGTTTTGGGTAAAGAATTCAGACTATCATCTCAAATTTCTGACTTTTTAAACAAAAATCTGAAATTAAAGTCAGAATTCGTTTTTCAGTTGCCATATATCCCTCCATATATTCATGAATGAATGAAATTAGCTTTTTCTTTGTAAAGGTTGCATTATTAGATAATCTGAAGTAGTGAGGCAGCAAGAGAAATTGCAGTTATTTACAATATTCTCAGCTGGAATCCATCAATCAATTAATATATTTTTCTTTTGTTCTGTCCTAATACCAACAAAACAAGACAACATTTCTCTGGGATCAAATACATATTAGTCAATGTATGATATAGTGATACCAGATGAAAAGCATGGACCGTTACCAATCAAATCTTAAATGTCTATTTTCAGTCATATTCAATAATTTAGAATATAAGACCAGATGTTCATTTGTCATCTTAAAAGTAGCTTTTGAAAATAACTTCCTTTAATCAGATAATAAACATAATTTTCATTAAACACTTTTTAATTAACTGTTTTGGAATGATCTTATGTAATATGGTCATGTTTCCATTGTAAGCGGAAAATCATAATTAACAGAAATAAAGGCTTTCAAACATCCATCTGTGTGCATTTAATTTGTATGACGTGTTTTACTTAGTGAAAAAGTTCCTGAAATAGATGCACTATTCAATAATATTGATAGGATCTGTATTTTTGCTTAAGATCAAAACAAGACTAGGAATAACTACATAACGGTCAGGATTATGCGTCATTACGTCACGAGGTGTAACGACAGGACGTTGTTACGTATTGGCCCAGCTGCTTATGCTAAATGCTAGCTAAGTCACTGGTTTCTGTTTTTGTTCTGCGGCTTTCTGTTGTCCTCCAGCAGGACTCTGGGTAGAAAAACTTAATTTATCAGATCGTTAACAGTCCTTGGAGCACCTGGACGTTTGTGTCGGGTCGTGGTCATGGCTCTGCAGGGGCCGGAGGAGGTAGGGGAGCAGGTTGAAGAGCCGGAGGACCTGGACGACCAGGACGCTAGCAGCATCTCCCCGGCCGAGGAGATAACCCTTCCACCGGGGACGGGGGGCGACGAGGAGTCGCAGGAGGCTTTCCTCCTGCCGTGGGACCGCTTTTCCTCCTGGCTGCACTGCATTTGTGTGGTCGGCTTCGACCTGGAGCTGGGCCAGGCGGTGGAGGTAAAAACAACTCGGCTGTGAATGTTTTAGTTAGCAGCTGCTGGAGGCTCTGGCTATGTCCTGGAAAGTAATACAAACTAATTTTTATTCACTCAGATTTAGCTGCAAGTTTTTCACAGCAAGAAGTTTCTCCAAAAATATGTTAAGCTAACTGAACATTTTTAGTAAAAAGACTTTAAATGGTTTTCATTTAAGTTTCTGTTGAAATGTCAGCTTTCGTAAAGTTAGACTGGTCCAAAACACTTTGTCCAGTCACAGAGAGGATACATTTTATCATTACTGTGGCATTTGGTAGATAAAAGTAGTTCTGTTAATTCAAACTGACCAGAAACAAGAAAAGTTTGGTCTGATTTGACTTCAGACAGTGAGGGAAAAAAGATAGAAATGTTGTTTTTACTCTGTTGTTTTTCCACTCCAGACTATATTAAAAAATAATTAAATTGCACATATTACACAAGTAATACATCCTGAGACAAGATCCTGCTTTAAATTATGTTTAGTTAAAAGGTAAAAACTGATGAACTCCTGTTTTATCATTTAATTTTCTTCCAGGTAATTTATCCTCATCATTCCAAACTGTCAGAGAAAGAGGTGAGTCAAACTTCATTGGACCTGGCTGTATCCAAGTCACACAGTTTATCCATAGCACAAGGGGTAGACATTTTTCATATTGTTTATTTTTATTGTGGTCAAAAAATAAAAAAAACAGAAACGGTCAATATTATGGGCATTTTTCATTAGAGCATCAACAAATATCAATAAGCTGAAAATGTGATTAAATACAGTTGCTGTGTATTGTTTAGTAACAAAAATATGACATATTTATGTAACTGAAGTCCTGTAAAATCAGAATGTTTTTTTTTGGAAAAGTATTTGTGGTTACCTAATAAATCACAGCAAAGAAGTTGTAGATATTTTTAATGTCACTTCTGTCATTATCACTGTAAATATTATAAAATATGAGATCTCTAAGTAGCACTGTGATAGTTTGTTCAATACCTGATCATATACAATTATTCCCATTTTATGTGATTTTATATTACAATATAGTTTTGTAGGAGTGGAAAACCTTTCAGCAGTTAATCTGCTTGAAAAGTCACAGTAGTTCATGTGCGTAATTTAATTTAAATCTTTTCTCTGAGAGCCCAAGGGAAAATCTGTCAGAGGCTGCAGAACATTTAAAACTGGGGTAAACATACAGCCGGAAAGCAAAACAAGACATATTCATGTGTTAGAATGGCCTAGTCAAAGTCCAGACATAAATCCAACTTAGAATCTGATACTTGAACATTTTGAAACAAACTCAAAGAAAAGAAGAAATACAGTTTCTGTACAAAGCTGTTGGAGACCCAGGAGTGGGATGAGAAAGATGCAGAGGAAAGAAGAATAATCTCATGTTTGGTGTTGATGCTGTTGTCAGCAGTAAGTTAATGAGATAAATATGTTTTCTTCCAGAAAACAAGCATCTGCTACCTTTCCTTCCCAGACTCCAACTCAGGTGAGTTCCTGTTTCAGCAGCTTCCTTCTCTTCTCTGCACCAGAAAAATTAAAGCTTCATATAAGATGAAATGGCCCTGCGACAGACCTGTCCAGGGTGACCCCGCCTCTCGCCTGGAACGTTGGCTGGAGATGGGCAACAGCACCGCCCATCTCCAGCTAAGGGACCAGGGTGTATGGAAATTGGATGGATGGATAAGATGAAATGCCATCGTAAGACTAATTCATGCTAAGCCAGAGGTGGGAACTCCAGGCCTGCAGGTCTCCTGCAACCTTTAGATGTGTCTCAACTTCAACACACCTGAGTCAAATAATGAGGTCGTTAGCAGGTCTCTGGAGAACCTGACTGCACTTAGGATGTGATTCAGCCATTGGATTCAAGTGTGTTGGACCAGGGAGACGTCTAAGAGTTGCAGGACACCGGCCCTCGAGGAACTGGATTGCCCGCCCCTGTGCTAAGCGCTTTTGTTTAAACGAAGTTAGATTCTAACTAGAAATATGTGTGTCCACCATTATTACATTTTAATTTATGAACATGAACAGCCTGACTGACATTATCCGACAAACTGGGAATAAAACCAGTTAAGCTCACATATTTTTATGTTCTCGGTGCAAAACAGTCGTTACCCATAAGGTTCCAGATGCAAAATTGACTTAAATCATACTTTATTCATACCACTTTGAACACGACCCTCCGTCTACAGGCACATCTAAAAAAAATTAATATTGTTTAACAGGTTAGGATAGGTCTACGGGCAATACTAAATATGTTCATTACATTTTTTGCACAAAGTCTTTCTGAGATAATGTGATTTGGCTGTTTGTTTTTTAAATCCTTTGGCTGTTTCTAGAAATCCGAATGGAAATATAAACATTTGAAAAATGTGAATTTTAAATAATGGTGATAATATTTTCTGTCCCTCATTTCAGAAAGCTAACCTCTTGTCTTGATTCACCACAAAGAGAGAAATATTTCAAGTAGTAGATTTAATTATTCTGGGTCAAGTAGCCCATGGTCTGTCTGAGCACAGTGGCTCCAGAGGTTCTGACTCAGTCCAGTCCTGGTGAAGCTTAACAATCCCATCAGCGCTGCGGTTATTCTTGTTGCTGGTACACTTTTTCCTTCCACTCAACTTTCTATGAATATGCTAGGACTTTTCCACAATATCCCAATTTTGTGAGACACTGAATTTGTGGTTTTCATTCTCTTTCAACCCGTTTTCACCAGCTGTGTTTCCATCCATCTTATTATTTCACAATTTGACATTTTAAAAATACATTTAATTTAAACACACCAATTTCGAACAAACTCTCGTTTTTTGATTAAAAAAAAGTTTTTCTATAGGATGAGTTTTGTTTTCCCCCATCCCCCTTTTTTTTTGCTGTATTGCAATTGGTTTATTTCACAGAACTGGAGTGGAAACACTTTCACATGAGTCACATAATCAACAACCAAATGAATGGTGGAAAAGGCAACAAAGAAGACAGGAAGTAGTTGGAGGATGATGGTTTTTAATTACTTACCGCATTAACAAACTTGCTCATGTGGTTTTAAATTGGTTTTTAATTGAGTTAAAATGCATATACATTATTTAATTTTCTTTATTAGTGGAATATTAAAGTTTTGTGCACATTTGTAATGTAAACGCAGAACTCAGTAGCTAGTCCACCTGTGTGCAACTGACTGTCAGCGTATGCACACAGAGATTTGCTGGAGAACAAACAGCGTGTTACCAAAAGTCAGTGTTTATCCGTCAGCCCCACGGAGTCAGTGACCTTTTTAAAAATGCTTCACCCAGTTCAGAGTAAACGCAGACCAAAGTGGATCAGTTCCTGAAACCGCTTGCAGACGGAGTAAAGCTGCAGCGGCGTTACGTGTGAATGCAGAGCGACAGTTTGCCCTCAGGTGTGTTTTTGTTCTCTGTGAGTTAGCAAGTGTTGAAGATGAGGAACTCTCAGCCTTCAGTCCAGTGACAGGATGAGGACAAAATGCTTTCAGACGTAGATAGAAACCGTCCTGCAGACGTGCTCTAGAAGCAAAGAGACTTTAAAATATAGACCTGCATCTTGGATTCTCCATGTTTCACATAATTCACATTCAGATCTTGAAATCAGTTGGCGTTTAGTTGGCTTTCTGAAAAGGGAAACGCATTCTGAAACGTGGTTGGAGTGTTATTTTGCTTCTCAGCTCAGTCGGTTTAAATCAGGAAAAGGAAGGTTTAATCTGAGACGCATGAAAATAACAAAGATGTTTTAACTGATTGTGTGACGCAACGCAGATCTTTTCTGACAAGCTGTGGTACTCGGATTGAATTCTGATGGATGAAGACTAACGACTTCTGGTAAATTTGTGTTTTGCTTCCTCAACCAACCAACACTGACTAATCAGCTAACCAGGCTGATCTTTCACTTCCAGTATGAACAATGCCTTTAAAAAGATGTTTTCCCTTTTTAATTGCTTTTACAAATCAATCCTGATCACCAAAATGTGACTTTTTTGACAAACAAGCTCTTTAATGTCAAAGTAAAAAATGATTTCTACAAAATGATAATCAAGTAAAAAACATAAAATAAGTGCATAATTATTCACCTCCGTTTAAAGTGACTGAGCTAATTCAACAGAGGTCCAGCCAATTGGTGGTAAGTGTTTCACAATGATTGTAGTGGAGATCATGTGATTGCTTCTACAGGGATCTGATCCAACCAATCAGAGAAACGGTTATTGAAAAGTTCTTTGCTGTTTATATCTATTATTAGTTAAATATTGCTAAGTTTTAGTTTAGTTTTTATTTGTTATAGTACTAGTTTTATTTTTTTCATACTTAAGTTAATTTTTAGGTGCAGATTTAAAAAAAAAGTCAAAGTATTATGATTATGTGTAAATTGGGTAATGAATACTTTTTAAATTATTGTTGAACAGCCGTCTGACTCTGATGTTTTCTCTCAGCCATTTTGTGGACGAGCGTACGCGCCACCAGGAGGAATATGGAGTGACGTAAATTGCCAAAAGCTGACGTAATCAATTGGGAGAATCAATTTCTTTCAATATTTATTTCTTTAAATTGAACTTTAATAAGAATTACAGAAATTTAATTTAAATCTTTAAATGTTTTATAGCGAGAAAAGACAGCTGAACATGAGAATTCAAACTGAGGAGTAGTTTGAATTCGTTCATCGTGGATGTTCTTGAATGCAGCACGACATCCTGGAGTCTTCTAGGGGCTGATTGTTTATTTGTCCACACTGCGAAAGTCCATCAGGGCATCAGTATCTTAAAACTTTGATTCTGAGTTTAATTTTATCTTTTGACTCACACTCCATCCGCCAGGAGGTAACTGGGAGGGTGCAAAGATCAGGTTGAGGTTAAATGCCGTTCAGTGACTGTGCACTTCCTGGTTTCCCTTTTCCTCTTCCTGTTTGTGTCAAGATCCTGGAACACCAGGAAGACGCTCAAGAGTTCACAAATGCGTCTAAACAAATTTATATTTCTGGCTTGAATAACTTTAGGTTTGATATGCAAAGGTGACTGAAGGCAAAAGAGGAGAAGTTTTCACTTGTTTTTAGAGAACTAAAGAGTGGCTTTGTAAGATTATAAATATCTTCTGTAATGCACAATAGGAACAATAGAAATTTGCATTTTGAGCTATTAGTGTTTCAAAATCTTCAAGGAGATGTCAGATTAAATTAATCATGTATATACTGCAAATTAAAACATTCTAGGCAGGAGAACCAGATTATAAATTAGCGTGACGGAAGTAAAAGTAGGAAAGTGATTCTTTGAGATTTAATGATTTCGGTTAATGTCCCATCAAGTTTTATGTATCAAAAAGTCATAAAAAGCTTAATTTATACAGATATAAACCAGCTTCACTTTCAAAAAGGGAAGCTGGTTTTGCCCAAACACAGATCAATTTTAAAGCAACAGTGGTGTGTAAAATATATTTTTTTTAGCTTTAGGTATTGATGTAATGTTATTCCCTTATCAAAAACATACCTGGAGTATTGCTTTGATTCTTTCATGCATATTTGATAGATGCTTTAATCTCCATGGCAACCGTTCAGCTGTGCCAAACGTCTGAGTGGACCTAGCCCCGCCTTCAAGGCGTAGCTCTTCCTCGGAGTTGCAGTTTCCAAGCTTCAGGTCTTCCTCCTCACAGAGCAGCCCTCCCAGGCAACTCCCCCACTTGGCTCCTTCAGACTAGCCAGCAGTAATTAGCAAACACCTGTTGGAACTGTGCATCTGTTGAGCTCATTTTAGGAGCTACCTCTCAGAGCAATGCAAGTAAAACATTGTTAAAGGTTTTAATAGAGGAGCCATGTTGTGAGACTTCCTGAAGGCAGAGTTTCAGAAAGAACAGGAGTTTTTAAAGAGACAGAGGCCCAATTTCAAGGCATTAAATTAGGAAATACATTATTTTAAGTCATATTTGATATATGTAGCATATTTATAACAACTGGAGGTAACATAGCTACTTTTTTATGCTATAAAATGCACTGTTTGCCTGGAAGACACATACTGGCCCTTTAAGTTTTTCTGTTTATTTTGATTTTGGCTTACAGCTGTTGAAAATCCAAGGAATCAATTTCTCAGAAAAATAAAACATAAAACCAAAACAGGATTTTTATTACTAAATGTGGGTCTGCAGCTAGCAAAAAAAAGGAACCAAACTGACATTTAGCTTTTTTTTCTGTGGAGCAATTTCAGTAAAAATTTAAACTATCCTTGGTGTAAAAATCTCTGATCCAGAAAAATCATAGGCTAGACTGCCAAGAGAGGGACTGAGTAGAGAATAAGTGAGGCTGGTCCAGGACCTGTGCTGTGACAAGACAGCGCGGTGAGGTGTGCTGTGGGAAGACATGGAGGCAGCTCTGCTAGTATGTAGTGTGGAGCCTTCTTTACATTTCTTAATTAGACTTTATGAACTTCAACAGACAAACATGTTTGATGTCCATATTGTGAAATGATTAATTGCTTTCAGGAGAAATGTCAGTAGACGTAACACTTGTATCTGACTTGTATCCCTGTCTTTAGCTTTTTTAACCTGATGCAGCATTTCAAACAGCGTTTCGTGTTGTGTTTCTAGGTTGCCTTGGCGACACGCAGTTCTGCTTCCGCTTTCGACAGGGATCCAACAGGAAGTCGTCCCTTGGGTGTTTCCTGGAAAACACTGATCGAGACGCGCCGCCCTGCCTGAAGGTTTGGAGCCCTAAGGAATACATTTGGCCACATTATTAATAACAGCAGCAGCTAATCCCTTCCATTACACCTTGATGGGGCAGAGCGGCAGCTGCAGTGAGAGGCTAACGTCTCTGCAGAACTGAGAGGTTCAGGAGACATTTAGGTTCTCCAACACCTTGGCTAAAGGAATGAGCTTATAAACTGCTTTCTGTTTCTTATAGTACTGCAGTAAAAGTTTTCTGTGGTGGTCGGGGCGCCGAGGCGGTCCACCATGTTTTTGTATTAAAAGATGTTAAGTTGAGAGGAAATGTAAAAATATTACTGGGTAAATTGTATTTTACTGGAAAACATCGCTAGTGAAAGCTATTTAAACCCACAATTAGTCTTAAAAACAACAAATCAAAAAATACACTTAAAATGAATATTAATTATTTGCACTTCTGTTTAATCCAAGTTAAGCCAGCGGCTCCATCAGGCTCCCCAGGGCTTCAGGTGCCCCATAAATATTTTAACACAGATACATAAATGTAACATTTATTTATTCAGATTATCAATGCTGCTA